GTGGATGTAAGCCAAGCAGATTCATCCACCAAAATTTGTCACTTTCCTCTTAATTAGCAACATAACATTTCAAAATAGATGTTTTTTCTTTTACTTCCATGCTATTTCTGAATATAATTAGATGAAAAAGAAAAACATACATTTATACAAGAGCTGGACAATATTGCTGAAAAACAACATGAAAAAATATCAACAATTATTGATTTTTTTTTTTTTTTTTTTAAATATCTGAAATACTGTCGGACTGATGATGTGACTTTTCCTGTTTTATTCAGTTTTCTGTCCTCGTTTTTTTTTTTTTTTTTTTTTAGCAGTTATAAACATTAAATCAAGTAAAAGAACTTATTGGAGCAGTATTATATGTTTTCAAGGCACATAGTGGGATTTTTATAACATAATCAAGTAACTATGTTACTGTTGTTATAAAAATTACATATGTCAAATATGACTTAAAAGAAATTTGACTTCCTAATTAGGCTGTGAAATTGGGCCTCTGTCTCTTTAAGAACTCCTGCTCTTCCTGAAGCTCCGCCTCCAGGAAGTCATGCCAACATGGCTCCTCTCTTAACCCTTTAAAAAAGTTTTTACCATCGTTGCTCTGAGCAGCAGCTCCTGTAATGAGCTCAGCAGCTGTTTGCTAATTGTTGCTGGCTAGTCTGAAGGAGCTGAGAGGGGGAGGAGCTGCGCCTGGAAGGTGGGGCTACGTCCACCCAGGCATTTTGCATCTGAATGGTTGCCATGGAGATTAAAGGATTTGTCAAACATGAAAGAATCAAAGTAACACTCCAGGTTTATTTTAATGAGGAAAAAAAAAACATTAAAACATGATGGAAAGTAAATTTTACAGAACACCGGCCCTTTAACTTAAACATGAACTCAAACATTTTATTCATGGTAGAATGAATAAAATAGATATTTAAAACTTTTTTTTCAGTTTTACTTTTTTTCAGTTTCATGTTTTTCTTTCTCTTGAATAAATTTTATGGCCCTAATGTAGCTCCATATAAACACGGCTGTGTGGAGATCGTGAGGCTGAGGCAGAGCTCTGCCCCTCAGATCATCACGGGAAGCGGAGCTGCACCGACGCTCTGCTGCAGCTGGATTCTCACGCTGAAGCAGCATCTGATCCACAACGAGCAACCAGCAGTAAGATACCATAAAATACCTTCTGACTGGTTTGTTTTAACCCTGTTTACGTTAAACAGGTGGAGATAAAGGGAGTTAATTAGTACTGTTATGAAATATGTCGAAATCTTGAAAAAAATTATCAATTTTCTAGATGCAGCTAAATCTTAAGTTATTTGCCAAACATTTTATGAAAACAATCAGTTTGCAGAACTTGCATGGGGTTCAGTTTCTATTGGAAATGCTCTTCCAATATGTTCTGTTCCTGCTGATTAGAATAGAGATGAACAAAGTTTGCTTGTTTCTTCCAGTATTTCAGTATCGTTTCACTGCAGGGCAGCAGGATTTACAACTGAGATCCAGATAGAAGAGCAGGAGACGTGTAAAGGATAAGAAATCATGTTTATATTTTATGTTTTCATTTAGTTTTTGGAGGTGTAGAATTTCTAATCATCTAAATGTGTAGAAAACGTGTCAAACTGAGGTGTGGGGGCCAACTCTGGCCCGCCAGAGCTTCCTGTGTGGCCCAACAATCCAGAGGGACACATAGTAAAACCTTCAAGATAACAGCTGTCTGTCCAAATATTATTTTAATAATCAAATATGAAATCAAAGCAACTTTAGCTGTAAATGTTAAATCAGTTGCAGAGATTCTCGCAAAGTCAGCATATCTCTGGATTTTTTAGAGCTAATTATTAATTGTGAGATTATTGCAAATTTTCCATAAAAAAGTCAAACATCGGATTTAAGTGTTGCCAACTCCCACCTGCAGGTGGCAGTGTGCTAACATGCTAAACGAAATCTGCGATTAGCAGACTGTCCCTCCGCAGAGTTGGATAGTAACTAGTTACATTTACTCGAGTAACTTTTAGGAGTATTTTTGTTAAAATGTATTTTTACTTTTACGTGAGTAAAATTTCTGGATTCTGAATGAAAAACAAACACATTTAACCAAAAACTCACCAGACAGACTCACACCTGCAGTTTCTGTTAAACTTTCATAATGTTTTTATTGAAACAAAAACTGATTTGGAAACATTTTATTTTGCATGATTTTGTTATTTTCTGTTACTTATATGAATTATTGTCATTTTAATTCTTAAAATACCAAAATTTCCACCAAACTTTATATTTAGAGTAGGGTTATGGTGCAATTTTAAAATATTAAATGACTTTTTACCAAATGCTTTTTACTTTTACTTGCGTAACAACAGGTTGAAGTCGTGCTTCTCTTACTGGAGTTCAGGTTTCGGTGCTCTGCCTCCTCTGACCCTCCACTGTTATTAATGTAATGTGATTGTCTTTAAATGAAACCTTGACATTATCTTGTCTGGTTACTATGATATTTTCGTCAAACTGATTTCGTCTGATGTGAACAGCTTCAGTCTCCAGGCGTCCGGAAAGCTTCACTCGCTCCTCGTTCTGCCGCAGGAAGTGATTTTCAGAATGCCAACAACCTGGAGGAAACAAACAAGTCACTGCTCTGACAGTCATTGGGGAGGCTGCAGTCGGCCCCTCGTCGCTTTGGGTTCATCTGTGGCGTGTCGCTCAGCAGCGCTGCGCATCATCCTGATGCATTGTGCTGCTCTCTTTTCACAAGCGTCACAAAATGCTGCTTTTCATCGTCCACAAATAAGCAGCAATCTTATCTTGTGAGGGAAAATGTGAAGATGGAAGGCACTTTTCTTGGAAGTGTCGTTTGGTGTCCATCAAAATTATGACAAACAAAAAAAAACTGCTTGATTATAAGTTTGTATGTCTAATTTGAACAACATCAAAAAATGTCTGCTGCTTCAGATCATGTTCCATTTCAGTGGGAATAAAAGATTTTTCTTCTTTTTTAAGATTAAAAATTAATGTTGAATCTTCATTAGCATCTTTTATGCTTTGCGTCACAAACTGGAGGCGCGAGGGCCACATCTGGCCCGCCATAGCTTCTTACTGGGCCTCCAGAGGAACACAATCTGTAACTGTTGAGTGCTTAAATTATCAAATATTATTAATTACTTGATAAATATTAATATTATTTTATCAAATGTTACTTAATCAATCCAATCAAAGCTGTTTTTATCTGTGTGCTGCCAAATCACATCAATCTCTCAGCAATCACAGAAAATTAACACACAATCAAATCAAATTTTCCCCAGAATTGATCAAATAATTGCTAAATTTCAACCTCCTTCAGATAAAGTATTTTATTATTATTTCTCCTGAAGCGCCTTCCTCAGGCTCGTCATTGCTTTCAGCATATTAGGAAGAAACTGACATCTATATTACAATCTAGATTGTTCTGAATTATGCTCTCTGCGCTCACAGAGACGTTATTATTCGCCTCCCCCTGACTGCATTAAAGAGGCTTTTTATAACCCACCTGTGCTTTTCTGACCCAGTTAAAATGTCAACTTGAGGAAACACTCAGGCCTGATTTTTCTGGACAAAAAACTGTCCCAGAAGTTATTATGATAAACAATAATTTTGTTGTTGTGAGACAATTTCATTTATACAATGGTAATAATGACATAATAATGCAAGAACACATTCTCAAAAATCAATAAACTTCAAATTCTGATGATCATTTAACACTGGAACTGGAAGACATTTTAAATATCCAAAATAAATAAAACAGAAAAAACAAATGAAATAAATTATAAATCTCTGGAAACAAAAAAGGTTTAGTTGAGACCAAAACACCAGACTGAAGACTTTTGTCATCCAGTTTTTGGTAGAAAGAGAAAAACAATAAATCATTCAAATGTTAATTATTGAATGATAATTAAAGTGCGGCCTGGGGGCCATTTGCGGCCCCCTGGGGGATTTTGTGCGGCCCCTGACCTCAATGCAAACATCGGTGGTCAAGCAACATTTTCTGCAGATAAGTGACATTTTCTTCAAAGAAGAAAAAAGAGGTACAAAAAAAAAACAGATTCCCGTTAATTAGCAACGTTTCTGCGATCGTCTTGGCTTTGGAGTAACTAGAACCACAAACACCGACCTAAAAAATTCACCCCAAGTTAGACTGACTTATGATAACCTGTGGAAATACTTTTTATGCCTACAATGATTTAAATTTCAATTTGGATTATTAATGAGCAGATAAACCTTAAAAAAAGGAAACAAAGTTCCAAAGTGTTTGTTTTAAAATACTTTCTGCGACCTGAAAGTGGCTTTAATTTGACGATTTTGGTGGTCATGGCAAAAAGTTTGGACATTGAGAACAATAATGGATTTTCTTTTAAAGGATTTTGTCCACATACAGATTTAACTGACCTACACTGCAGCAGCGGTCAGTTACTGTCTGATGGGAGGTTTTTGTTTTTAAAGAGACGGCGTCCTGTTCGGTGTGATGGGAAAGACGCGCATCATAAAAGCTTTGGTTCTTCTGCTGCTCTTCATTCTGCTGCAGGTTAGCGCCCATAAAAACACGTTGCTTACTTCTCCTGCAGATCCCTCCGTGTTGGTGTTGTGATCTCTCTGCTTGTTGCAGCTGGAGACGGGAAGCGGGAAGGTTTTAGAGGAGACTTACCTGAAGTGGCTCCAGTACAAACAGGACTGCATCAAAATGATGCAAACCGAGCCGCCGCCTCAAGGTACGAACGGATCTGTTGATTCAAACAGCGATTAAAAAGTTAGGATTCAAAAAACAAACCAATTTACTTATTTTTGGGTAACTGAATGGCTACATGGCTCCACAAAGTCAAGTCTTGTTGTAAAACATTTTCATTTGAAACAGGTTTCACAGGATGTAAGGACGTTCTGAGTTACTATCTTATTATTTTACTTATATTTTCCATAAGAAAATAATCGGCCAGTGGGACTAGAAATTTTCAGTATGAAGAAATTATTGACTTAAAACATACTGTAAATTTGTCTTATTTCACGTGTAATAAGATATTTGCAGTAGAAACTACACTAAAACACTGTAAGGTTTTGTGTTTTTGCAGTGTAAACTGTTTAGTTTTACAGGTTATTATCCTTTCTGAAGCAGATTGATGGGCTTTATGTTAGGAAATGTTTGTTTCTCCTCATTCAGTTTTCTTCTTTGCCTTCCCAGAGGGTTTGTTCTGCAACCGGACGTTCGACAGATACGCCTGCTGGCCTGACGCTGCTGCAGGCTTCATGGTCAACGTTTCCTGTCCTTTCTACCTGCCCTGGTTTCACAAAGGTCTCTCATCTGACCGCTGTCTCACTTTGACTGTGTCATACTTCAGTTTATTTCTCCATCAGGTATTATCTTTGAAGAGTGGTAAGGATTTTTTTGCACAGGTAAGAAAACACCTTGCAGCTTCAGTTTGCACCAAAACTGCAAATCATTTTTATTGCACACATTCAGCTCAGAGCCGAAGGAACTCGGTCAGTTCTGTGAGGCCGAATTAGAGCCAACATAGACGGAAAAGAAAAGAGGAAATTTCCAGAAAATAAAAATCGAAACTTTTTTAGAAAAAAAAAACAAGAAAATGTTTACATTTGAGAAGCTGAAAATTTGCTTGAGAAAAGTAAGAATTTTCAGATTAATCTCAGAAATTTTCTAGAAAGAACAAGGAAATTTGAGTTTGAAAAACTTAAAATTTTATAGAAAAAGCTCAGAAATTTCTGAGTTCAAAAAGTCACAAATTAGCTAGAAAAATATTTTTTTTAGATCATTTAATTTTTTTTTTTTTTTAAAACAAGGAAATGTCTGATTTTTTTTTATCTAATCACATCAGATCTCCAGTCAGATGAATCAGTTCCTGTTACATCCTGGTTATCAATCTGTGCATCAGTTTCAGTTTATTAATCAATTTACTTCTAAAAAATTTCTATCAAAGGAAATCTGGCAGATTTCTATCAAGTCATTGCAAGTCAACGATTCGACGGTAATCTGTCACGATTTATTCACATAAATCCCAAATATTTGGACATTTATGACCTTTTTCTATTTTGTAGCACAGTAACTGGTGCAGCTGATGCTTTAGAGTAAAACTTTTATCTGAATGATCAAGTCTTACAATAAAAACGCCTCAAAATGGACGTTTGCTGTGAGAACCGCTGTGAACAATCAGGCTGAGTTCTGCAGGTTCACTGATAGGAAAATAAAACTCTTCAGAGTTTATTGAGTATAAATTGTTGTTCATAGAAACGTTTTGTGTTTTTATGAAAACAGCAGAAAGCATTCAGACCTCATGTCGTGTCAGTTTGTGAGGAAAGAGCACATCAGTGGATCAAATGAAGTCTTTCAGTCAGAAACTTCTCTGTTCTTTTGAAACATGATTCTTAAAGGGCCAGTATTCTGTGAAACCTATATTTTTATCTTTCCATCATGTTTTAATGTTTTTCCTTCATCAAAAACAAACCTGGAGTCTTCCATGATTGAGAAATCCTTTGATCTGCATGGTAACCATTCAGCTGTTCAAAACGCCTGGGTGGACCTAGCCCCGCCTTCCAGCCGAAGCCCCTCCCCTGCTCAGCTCCTTCAGACTAGCCAGCAGCAATTAGCAAACAGCTGCTGAGCTCGTTATAGGAGCTGCTGCTCAGAGCAACGCTGGTAAAACCATTAAAGGGTTAATAGAGGAGCCATGTTGGGACAGCTTCCTGGAGGCCGAGCTTCAGAAAGAGCAGGAGTTTCTTAAAGAGACAGAGGCCCAATTTCAAGGCGTTATATTACGAAGTTGTTTCTTTTAAGTCCTATTTGATATATATAGCATTTTTTTAACACCTGAAGGTAACATAGTTTTGCGATTGTGCTATAAAATGGAAAACTCATAATACCGCTCCTTTAATGCTTCAGCTAGCTGTAGCTTCATTTCTAACTAGAGCCGGACGCAAAACAGTTTTTCAGCAAAATCGTCAGGCCCTTATACGAGTTTGTGAAAAACTTGTGTTAAGTTCTTCAAAACTTAATACAATATAAGCGCTTCATATCAGTTGACATCAATAATTGTTGATGAGTTTTTTTTGTTTTTAATATTTGAACTACAGCCAAACTGGTGGCGTGACCTTCCCAGTTTTACCCAGTTTTCCCTCCATTTTGTTTTTTATTTTCTAGCAGTCATGAGGCAAAGAGGGGAAACTTGAAACTGCTCCAGTTATTCAGCAGGTTGTTGCTAGGTAACCGAAGTTTGGGGGAACTTGAAACTGCTTCTTACCCAGCAGGTTGCTAGGCAACCAGAGAGGGAGTGAGTCAGTAGATTCCACCAACCTGGAATGTTCCAGGTTTATAGAATATTCTATCAGATGTGTTATCTATTGATTGATCATGTGTCTATCACAATATATATTGTTATTGATTTATTGTCCAGACCTGTGTCTAATGGACATGCAGGGATGGTGTGTGTAGTATATTTTATAGTATTTCCAAATGAACTAAGACATCTGCTGTCTCTAAACTTTGTTTGCTTGCTGTATTTTTGCCCTTCCAGGCTCCATCTATATGCAGCGATTGTCCAGATAATGAATGCTTCCTGATTTATTCCTCTCCCAGTGTCTCAGGGATCGGTGCGTAGGCGTTGCGGGTCCGACGGACTCTGGGAGACGGACGAAGGCGGCCATGTGTGGAGGGACATCAGCGAGTGTGAGGAGGAGGAAGAGGCGGCGTCCCAGGAGGTTCGGCTGCAGCCACCATCACTCTCCTTTACCAACTTTAATGATACATTTACATAACAAGGGTTCACAGAGAATTACTTCTGCGATTTCCCAAGACAAGAAGGAAGAACAAGCAGCACTTCAGCAGGCGAACTGGACACTAAGACCTGATGTACTTGTGTGGGAATTCAGAACAAAGAACGAGAAGAAAAATGGAAAAATGTTTTTATTTCTGCAGGTTGTAGGTAAACGTTTTAGGCTCTAATGTTTTTCTAACCTTCACCCTGAAACTTCTGGTAAAACTCTGTGAAAAATACGACAAAAAACAATGTAAATATAAAATGTTTTTATATCTGCTACATTCATTATGAAATAAAAGCAGGGCCTTCTGGGTTCATGATTTCCTGTTTACTGTTTCAGATATTAGTGACTCAGTTTGATTCTTATTAAAGGTGTTTTTGTCCTCACAGCTGTGGGCGAAGCAGCTGATGGTGGGCTTCAGGACCCTGTACACCGTGGGATACTCGCTGTCCTTGTCGACACTCATCATGGCTCTGATCATTGTTCTGAGCTTCAGGTGAGCTGTCGCTGCAGGCTTTTATTTTACTGAACTCTGCAGCTGAGTAAGCACCCAGCACACCTTTCTCCCTTCCTTTAAGCTAAATGAGACACGTTAGCTCACATGTTTAAAGTTAAACAGTCAAACATTAACAGCCATAGACGAAAAAAAATGGTGTTAGTTTATAGTCATATTTTCACCATGTTATTCATTCAGTTTCAAACTAAATATTTAGATTACAACCTAAAAAAATCTACCTGATAACTTCATATTTAACTAGCAAGCTTATTTAGTTTGTAGATATATTTTTAGCTACAAACTAAATATTTAGTTAGCAAACTAAATTTATAGCTTACAACTAAAAATGTTACCAACACTTTTAGTTGGTAGGAAACCAAATATCAACTTAGTTTGTATCAAAATATTTAGCTTCAAACTTCAAAATAAATGTTTAGTTTGAAGCCTAAATATTTGGCTTGCTAAACTAAATGTTTAGGTTGAAGACAAATGTTTAGTTATTAGTTGTGTTTAGTTGGTATGTATATAACTAATTAAATATTTAATTTGCTGGCACTTAGTTAGGAAGATAAATATTAAATTTGATGTTTGAAATCGGATGCTAACTGCCAGGTTGTCTGTTGAAAAAGCAAAAATGCACAAAGTTTGAACAATGTGCCTCACATGGTTTCTCAGTCAGAAAGCTGGTGTTTCCTTCACCTGTCTGTTTAATCTAAAAGCTAAACGATGATTTCAGGAAACTCCACTGCACCAGAAACTACATCCACGCCAACCTGTTTCTGTCCTTCATCCTGCGAGCCGTGGCGGTCATCGTTAAGGACTCGATGCTGGACCGCCACTTGGGGAGAGAAATCGTCAGACACGCCGACGTCACCGAGATGCTGAGCCACCAGGTTGGTCGCAGAAGCTTTGTTGACGTTTCATGATGACAGTCGGGGCGAAGACCGCTCGACTAAACCCAAAGCCAGCAGGTCATTTTCCTGTTTTCCCGCCTCCAGGCTGCCATCGGCTGCCGTGTCGCACAGGTTATGATGCAGTACTGCGTCTTGGCCAACCACTACTGGTTCTTTGGAGAGGCCATATATTTGTACTCTGTTCTCATTTCCTGTGTGTTCATCGACAACAACAAATACCTGCCGTACCTCTGCCTGGGCTGGGGTGGGTACCCCAATATATTATTATTATCTTTTGTTTCACTGAGTTTTTACTTAATTTTAACAACAAATAGTGACATTTTTCCACAGTTACACTCTCCTTTCTCTTACAGCTATATATTCCACATTATAAGTTGATAAAACAGACGAGATAACAATAATACTGCCAAGAGTTATAGAAATGAATACAACACAATAATAATGATGAAGTAATGACCAAAAAAAAGATCTTTATACATTACTGATGTGACTGGAGAACTGGGTAGGACAGTTTCCACGAGTCTGGACCGGAAGTGATCTGCACCACTGAACCGCCATCTTGGTAGGCAAGTGCAGTGCAAAGCATAAATGGACCAGGAAAAAGATAGAAGAGTATTCAAAATTTTAATCGAATAATTGTTGTAATATTGTTTTTAAGTTGGATAGGAGCAAGGTGAGAGCTAGTTCTAAGCTTTTGGGTTGTTTATTGTTGTCATAGAAACTCCATAGCAACTGCCTACTAAGATGGCTGTCAGCTACAAAGTTCCCATCACATGAGAACTTTTTATTGGTTCGAATCTTTCTTAGAGAACAGGGATTTCTCTGTTAGTAGGAAACTTCTCACTGAAGAGGGCAGGAATCACATGGGGTTCCCCAAGGCTCAAGCTGGGGCCCCTTCTGTTCAATATCTACATGCTAACGCTAGCTCAGGTTATAACTAGTAGTAAGATTAGCTACCAGGTGGAACACTCTGCATTATGATGTCATCAGGTAACTCGGCACTGGACAGGTAAATGTGTGGATGTTCCAAAACGTTCTCCAACTGAACAGAAACAAAACTGAAGTTATTATCTTTGGACCTAAAGAGGAGGGATCTAGAGTCATAGATCTAGAGTCAGATCAGCTTCAGTTATTATAGCTGGAAACTAGAAATCAGGATGAACTCTAGATGCAGTGATGAACTCTGACCTGAACCTTCAGGGCCACATAAAGACAGTTACAAAGTCGGCCTTCAATCCCCTGAAGAACATCTCC